GCCCCCGACCGTCGTGCGGTTGCGCTCTGACATGCCCCCGGACATGCCCCCAGCTGCTTCGCCCTGCCAGCCCGCCAGTCTGCTTCGTCCCGCCGGCCCTGGCCTCTCGCCTGCGCGCTTGCCTTTGCCTGCTTGCCCCTCGCTCCCTGCCTCCCCCTCCGTCGCCGCGCAGCACGGGCTGCCGGGAGCGGGTGGCGCCGGACAAGGACTGTCTGCACTGGAGGCGATGACCCCCAGCTGCGGAGCACAGTGGGCGCAGCCCGAGTCAGAGCCCCGAATCATCAGGGGTAACTCGGGTCAGGGCTAACTCGGGTTCGTTTTTCGGGATTCCGAACCCGAGTTACCCCGGACCCGAGTTACCCCGGATATTTCGGGCGTCCAGGGCCCCGAATCATCAGGGGTAACTCGGGTCAGGGCTAACTCGGGTTCGTTTTCCGGGAACCCAAACCCGAGTTACCCCGGACCCGAGTTACCCCGGATAACTCGGGCGTCCAACCAAGGTCGGTCCCTGGACCTCCGCATCGGGGCCCAGAGACGCACCACCAAACATCCAGGGCTGCGCGCCCGGCCGTGGCGACGAGGCGGCCCCCCGAGGGCCAACTGTCGTTGTCTCAACTCGCCCTCGCTTCGGCGGCGAGCGAGGGGCCTCCCCCTCCTCCTCCCCCTCCTCCTCGTCCTCCTCCTCCTCCTCTTCCTCCTCTGTGGAAGGGAAATAAAGGACAACTTGGGAATTCTCTCTCTCTCTCTCTCTTTTGTTTTTTCTCTCTCTCTCTCTCTCTCTCTCTCTCTCTCTAAGTATATTTATATATATATATATGTGCAGGTATATTTTTGTGTATCTCTGCCTTTCTCACTTTTTGGGTTGTCTCTCATTTTTTTTCTCTCTCTCTCTCTCTCTGTTTGTTAAATGTGTTTTTGTTGTTTCTCTCTCTCTCTCTCTCTATTTATCTCCTGTTTCTCTGTCTCTTTCTCTTTCTCTCTCTCTCTCTCTTTATAAATATTGATGAGAATGGGGACGCCTCTAAGATAGTCCTATGGGGGACAAACCCATCCCAATTTTATGATTTGAACCTGCGTTTGATACACTTCTAATCAAATCCTCTTAGAGGTGTAACGACATCTAAAAGAATCATATCAAGGATAGGGCCACCCGAGGGATGGATCCACCTCTGATTGAGTCCTACTGGGGATGGGGCAACCTCTAGGGATGGAACCACCCCTGGTATAATCCCACTGGTGATGTTGCGTCTGATCGTTTAAAGGATTGAATAAACTCTGACGGCGTCCTAATATGGATGGGCCAGTCGCACTACGCATGACGCTACCTCGAATGAAGCTCGATCAGGGATAGAACCATTTGCCAGGGTTGGGGCCAGCTGCGATATAATCAGATCAGGGACGGAGACACCTCTAACGTAATCCGATGAGGGAAGCCCATATCCAGTATAATCCTGATAAAGAAGAGGCCACCTCTAACAACATCTTATTGATGATAAAACAACCCTCGAAAAACATAAGCTCAATAAAGGACTCACATCTGTTCAAATCCGAATAAAAAAGGTGGGCCCACCTCTGAAGGAATCCTGTTAAGGAGGGTGCCGGGCGTACAAACCAACATCCACTGAAGGTGGTTCCGCCGCTGCAAGAATCCCATTAACAGTGGGCACACTTCCAAGAACAACCGGTTAAGGATGAAACCAACTGGGATATAATACAATTCAAGGAGGGCCCACCTCAATTTGAATCCCATTGAAGATGTTATAGCCTCTAATATAATCCCAAATCCATGCGGTCACCTGTGACTAGCCACTGCGATGCCGCGCTAAGCCCTGCTGGCCCCTGCTAAGCTCTGCCAGGCCTAGCCGGACACCGCGAGTCACTGCTAAGCGTTGCGGCCCTCTGCTAGGCCCTGACAAGGTCTGCTATAGCCACCTGCCAGGCCCAGCCAGGCCTTGATACGCCCTACCACACCTTGCTAACCCCTGAGATGCCTTGTTGAGGTCTGCCAATTATTGTTAACACCTGCTAGCCTTGCTAAGTTCTACCAGCACCTCGATAACCTGCTGAGCCATGCAATGCCTGCTAAGCCAGGAGGAGCCACACCAAATATAATGCCATCAGGGATGAAGCCGTTGCTGATGACAGCCTGGAAGAGATGGGTCCACCTCAAAGTCATATTACGGATAAAGCAAAATGTAATACCATCCGAACCCAAAAGAAAACTCGTTTGTAATGGAATCCCATGAGAGGTGGATCCGCCTGTACTGGGATCCTGTTATGGACGGGGCCACGGGTAGTTGATTTGCACGCACTGTGGCGCAAGCTCTGATACAACCTGATTAGATGTGGATCCACCTACAATACAATTCCATGAAGGATGAAAGCATCTGGAGTGGAAGCATCTGGAGTCTAATCGTCTGAGGTGTGGATACACTTCTATTTGGGTCCTAGGCCACCTCGGATACAATCATTCCTGAGCCCTGCTCAGATCATGCAAATCGCTTCTACGCCTTGACCCGCTAAGCCTTGCTAGCCACTGCGATGCCGCGCTATGCCTGCTGGCCCCTACCAAGCTCTGCTAGGTCTAGCCACGAACTGCCAAGCACTGCCTAGCGCGGCTGAACCCTGCTGGCCCTCTGCTAAATCTTTATAAACTGTGCGAACCACCTGCCAAGCCCAGCGAAGCCTTGAAACGCCCGACCCAACCCTTCTGGGCTCTGCTCCCCCCCTTGATCTGCCCTGTTGAGACTTGCCAATAGTTGCTAACACCTGCTCGCATTGCTAAGCTCTGCCAACACCTTGTACCCAACTAAACCAGGCGCAGCCACATCATATACAATCTCATCAGGGGTGGCTATATTGCTAACGGAATCCTATTAGAGGTGGGCCCACCTCTAACATAATCCTATTAAGGAGGGAACAATACGTAATGCAATCCGGTCAAGGAAAGACTCAGCTCTAATAGATTCCATTAAAGGTGGATCCACGTCTACTGGGATCCTGTTATGGACGGGGTTACGGGCAATTGAATTATAATACCACGATAAGTGGATCCACCTCCAATGGGACCCCATGAAGGACGGAAGCACCTGGGGTATAATCCTGTTATATGAGGATCCGCTTCTATTTGAAACCGATCGGAAAAAAGGGGCCACCTCGAATATAATCCTATCAAGGCTGGACCCACTGCTCATGGGATTCGATTAGAGGCGGATGCGATCGACCACCAAAAAACTGATTCAAGGCCAAGCCGCCTGCAATACAAGTAATTCAAAGGGTGGGGGTAGCTCGCGCAATGTAATCCAATCGGTAAAATTCTAAGGACACAAGCCTTACTGGAAAGTCGCATAACAAGGAAATGAATTTCGAATTCACGCACTAGAAAACAACGTGTACTTCCCCATGGAAGAAATCCGTATGTGGATCCGCGCAAACAAAAAAAAAAACCTGCAACCCACGCAGTAAAAGTCTACGTGTAACTCGCCGGCACAAGGAATACAATAGAAAAACCACACGACAATGATGTCGTGTGCAATCCGCACAAGAGGCATCAACGTGTGAATCCCCAACAAAAAATCAAAAAGCCGCGCAAAAGGATTTATGTGTAATCCACACAAAAGGAAACATTATGTAAATCGCACACAAAAAGATGACCTTTGAAAAGGGGGCCAGAAAAAGGTGTCGGACCTTCCCAAGACAAAAACGGGGGGGGGGGACCCAACAAAACAACGAAAACAACGTCGCCCCCTCCATTTCCTGTTAGTGTCGCGCTCGCTCAGCCCCCAAGAAGAAAAACAAATAATCGAACACATAAACGGGGGATGGTGTTCATTGAATGATGCTTCCATTTAAAGATTTGTTTGTAGGCGGTGTGCGAATGTACTTCTAGTGTTGTTGATTTTTTTTTGTTTTGTTTTGCGCCGTTTGTGCAATGGGAATTCATATGTAATCGGATTACAAACACAGTTTTTGGTGTGGATTACACATCGAATAATTTTGTGCGGTTGTTCACAAGGATTGTTGGCGCGTGCGATTCACAAAATATTTCCGGCGGGTGAACTATTTTAAGACAGAAAACACAAATATTGTTCCCCCCTCCTGCCCCGGCCCCGAAAGAAAAAATGGAGGGGGCGATGGTGTTGTGCTGTTCATGTTTTTGGTGTTTGATTGTTTCTTCTTCTTTCTTCCAACGGTCCAACACATTTCCTGGCCTCTATGTACAGAAACTATTGGTGTGGGCGGTTTGCAAGTTGCCTTGCACTGTTACAGTTAGAATCATGTTGCGCTGCGTTTCAGCATTACCGAATTATGCAAAACGAAGCAGTTGAAGGGAAACGAAACATGAAGAAATGAAATTACACAAACCGAATAACAAAACAACTTCCAGCATATTAACATACACCACGACAGTGGTACCCGTATGGTCCCAGATTTCCCCCTTACCCTCCTCCTCCTCTTCCTCCTCCTCGTCCTCCTCCTCGTCCTCCTCGGTCTCCTCCTCCGCCTCCTCCTCCTCCTCCCCTTCTTCCTCCTCCTCCTCCTCGTCGCCCTCCTCCCCCTAATGGCTACTATTGGCCCCTACTGGCTCCGGCGCCGTCTGTTACCGCGGGCGCGCCTGCGATCAAGCGGCGGAACAAAAACCGCCCTGGGTGGCAAGGACGAATTCTGACAGCGCCCCCGACTCTTTGGAAGCCCAGCCAAATGGCTGCTATGCCAGGGGAACCGACCTTCACACGAACTCCTTCGAGCTGGGGTCGATTCCTCGCTTCAACTGCTTCGAAATCCCTTTTGCGGGACGATTGCGCAGACCCCCGTGGCACTCCTGCAGGAGGCAGGGACGGGCACGAGAGCTCCCGAAAGCCGTGCACCGAACACACCAGGTCACTCTGCCTCCCATCAGCCACATCTCGCGTGGTAGGTGGCTGGTCCGCGCATTTC